AATGCTGGCAAGAACAAGTAACCTCTTGAGGACAGGTTAGAGGTTCGGCCTTTTAAAATCCTGCCTACTCTGTTTGCATACACCCAGTAGCGGCGCTACATGTATCACAGCTGGCCCGTGAAGCAGCAGAGCGTAGCCTGGGATGCTGCTATACGGGTCCAAAGCAGGCTCTCAGTAAGGAGATGGCTTCCTTCAACTGAAGGTCATGCCACCAATCACACCCCCTCTGAGATGGTCTTGAGAACATTTGCTTCCACTGCTGTTACCCTTGCAACACAGGACTCACAGTCAGCCAGCTTCAGACAGGAAACAAAGCCTGTAGTGAGAGACAACGTCTGACAGTGAAATCTAGTACTTTAGCTTAAGGCCAACCTTGCCAAAACCTGCCCCTGCTTCAGTACTTCCTTACTTATCAAGAGAATCTCAAGAGAATCTGTTCTTGAGTGTAAGCAAGCCAAAAAATAAAAAAAAAAAAAAAGAAAAAGGAAGCAGACAGTATTTATTCAGCAACTGCCACCACTGCAAAAGTCAGAATGGTGAAGAAATTACACAAAGAAGGGCACTTAGGACAACTAAGATTGGGTCACAGCTAAAAAGTTCACAAGAGGCTCAGACCCCAAACCATAAAGCAGCAGAGGGCTTCTTTGGGGTGGTAAGAGGCAAGGGAGTAAAACTTAAAATTCCTATGAGTAGTGCTTGCTAACATAGGGCAAGAGATCTTTATAAATCACATCTCAGCCTCCCTTCCATAAGGCTGTGATAGTCGTAATGCAGCACAATCCCCTGGCTAGATAAAACAGCTGGGGTTTGGCAATCATCTTTACACTAATCCATATGTTTGAATATAAAAAAGTATTAGCACTCAAACTTGTTTTGATCATCCATGTGTCACTCATATTCTCTAAAGTAATAAAAATAAATTATTTTTCCTCATTTTCATAATTGTATGATGATGAGCTATTAGAGATGTGCTGGGGAAGAAAGAGTTTTCCTTCAATATAAAATCTGTTTCAAAGCAATTTTCCTCTGTGTCCTCCTACACAGTCTTCCTGATTTCAGAGTGACTACTCAGCAACTGAAAAAAAACTTAGCTTCAGGTATCATTTTGCCAAAACAGATTTTGATTCTAGTTGTGAAATTTATTCTTCATTTTTTTTCCTTAAATGCTACAACATTCCTTCTGTTGACAAATACTTACCATGATTTTGTTCAATAGAAATGCACTAATATTCAGTTACCTGTACTGTCCTCTTCCCGCTCCGAGTCAAGGAACAGTTTGTATGTCACCATTCTGGGAATCAACAGCCACGTAACCGCACCAGCACAGAGGTGACCGCAGGCCTGGGGCGGTGACTAATCCATCAGGTGGACAGAGTACTAAGCAGCCACCATAAACTCTATTTTTGTGAGCCCAGCGAGTTAGCTTCCAGCTAGCCCAGCTGCCGCCAAACAAACCAGCGATACCTCTCTTTGCAGCGTAGGCGAGGTAACAATTCTCGTGGAAGCATTTTACAGAATCGATGTATGTTTACTTTCGTACTGCGCTAGGCCCTTCGCTTGGCTTCCCGACTGTCAGACACAGGGCACTCGGCTCCTTCACCGCTAAGCCAAAGCCTCCACGAACGGGGCGGAGATCATCTACGGAGCACCCACCCCTCCTGCCGGCCCTTTCCCCTGCAGCTCTCCCCCCGCCGGAGATGGGAGCGTTATTTGCTTGCAACTG